CTGGGTCAGGTCTTCTGTTCTGTTGGACTGTAGCATTCAGGTTTCGCGCTGTCGTTTCAGGTCTGGTGGTGGGGTCCGTGGACATTCATTGGGTCAAGGCCCACGGTTTAGGGTTTAGGGTTTAGTTTAGGGTTTAGGGTTTAGGGGCCTCTTCGTTAAGCCTTAGCCACAATGCCATTAATTGATGAAGAAGCGCTCTTCGCGGTATGCCCTCCTCAAATCCCTTGCATTAGGTGTTACTGTTATACCAGCCATGCATCGCCGCTGAAGGGCAATGGGGTAACTGGGGATTGATACAAAGCATTCCGGTACAGGGCTTTTTCTGCTCAGAGGGAGTGTTAGTCTGGATTCCGTCCCTTACCTTCCAACCCCAGAAACCCTAAGCCCTAAAAGTTTCAACCCTGAACTTTAAACCCTAAACCCTAAACCCTACAACTTAAACCCTTAAACCCTAAACAGTAAACCCACATAGTCCCAAGACCTGCCTCGCCTCAGAACACGGTCGACGCCAGCGCCACCTCGCGGCTTAAAGCCGCGCTCGCGCGGCGTGATGGGCAGATTTTTAGGGATGCGGAGAAGTAAGGGACTGAGGGACGGTAAGGCTATAGCTTTGGGTTTACAGGGTTGAGGGTTTAGGGTTATATGTTTCCACTATGAAGATATGTTTGTGTTTTTGTCTTTGGTTGTTGTTCTGTCTGTCTCTCTCTCTGTCTCTCTCACTTCCTCTGTATATGCATTACAGTAATAGTAACAATAATAGTAATAATACATTATATATATACACACACATAGATGCATACATTCATATACACACCGATGTATGTATATATATATATATATGTGTACCTACATGCATACACCACTTGTTCACTGAGTAAGTACAGCGCAGCCAAATTTTATGCGCATCATGCTACATTATATCATATCAGTTTTTACAACAGCTTTCATTGTTCCTTGTATCACATCATGTTCTATATCCACTTGTAATGGTGCATAGGCTTCTATGTTTGTGTTATTGATCTTTACTGGTCATACTGCCAGACCGTAGATGTCAGTATAACTCATGCTATAAGTGTATGGAGTACCAGTATTGTGATTTATTTCTCTTGAGTAAACTGATAACATTTCAATCGCATAACGTTGCCGGTCATGATGTTTATCTGTGCTATTGTTATTCCTGTGACTAAGTTCATAATTATCCGCATGTTCACACATCTTCATTACTGCAACCATCATCAACATCACTAAATATGTATATATATAAATATAGAGCGAGAGAGAGATCATAGTGCATCACGGATCCACAGGTATATATGTATACACATGCAGAGGTACATACATGTACATATGTATGTGTGTATACAGATATCAGCATATACATATATACATACATTCATACCGACCTACCTACCTACCTACCTACCTACCTACCTACCTACCCACCTACCTACCGACCTGCCTACCTACCTACCTACCTACCTACCTACCTACATACATACATACATACATACATGCATCAACAACCTATACATATGTGTGTATGTATATATATATATATGCATACAGAGAGAGAGAGAGAGAGAGCGAGAGTTTGATATATTCGCTTTCCATGATGTACATATACATATACATCTATGTTTGTTTATTTATTTATGCACTTATCTACCTGTGTATTTGAATATCTGCTTTTAGTCTTCATGCACCTATACATATATACACATGTATACCATGGTAATGATCCATCTTATCATGCATTATATCATCCTGCGTCATACTATGTTCCAGGGTGGTAAGTATCATTTTCGCGCTATATCTATATATCTATATATATATATATATAGCTGCATTGTTCTCATATATTGCATTATGTGACAGTATGTTGTATTGTGGGATGCACCTCGTATGCAATGGAGCTGAGGGTCGTCGGCGCAGGATGGATTAATCTCGAAACCAAAGACGAATCAACTAATCCTCCCACCCCCTTTCTAAGCTCTGATCAGAGAGTGGTCAGGGCGAAACCCTGAAAGCAAAGTGGCTTGGGTTTATATTAAAGCCCCTAAACCCTAAACCCTAAACCCAACACTGAAGCTCCCACATGACCTCCCGAACTTCTTGCATTCGCATTGCAGCCTGTGGCCACGGTTCCGATCGTTGTGTACAGTGTGTACAGCTTGTCTGCAGCGGAAAACTTGGAAGGTTCAGCGCTGAGGCAGGTGCCTGACTAGTCGGTAATACTATATAGGGCTCCTTCACAGATTAAAAGTATTTAGACACCCCAACACCCCATTCCATTTCTTCAGGCTTCCACACTTTCCACAAGACTGATGTGCTCAAAATGCGGTAACATTGGCAGTTCTTTAGCACATTGCCTCCCCACCCTCCCATTCATGCCTGCAGGCATATAGCATCATACACCCAATATGAGACCCCTGAACCCGAAACCCTCTTATGTCGAGCCCTTAGAGGCTTTTTACAAAAGACTTGGTTGATTCTTTCGGCCCTCTGAACCAGTAGGCTGCTCGACAAGTACGTCTAAAGTCACCCTAAAACCCCCAAACCCTAAAACCAGAAAGCCCTAAAACCCCTAAGCCCTAAACCCCTAAGCCCCAAACCCTGAACCCTAAAAGAGGGGACTGTGGCTATGGGCTTTGGATCTCGCTGCTGACAACCCATAGCCCTTGGAACCGAAACTTCTTAGCCCCGAATGCTTCCATCCTAGTATAGGGTTCAGGGTTTGGGTTTAGGCTGAGTTTCTATTGCCCTCACGTACCCTAAGGGCCCATGTTCCCAAATAGTATAAACTTTTGGCCTTAAAGTAGTCCCTACATAGGTACTTTGGGGTCAAAGTAGTACTGTTTGGGTACATGGACCCTGAGGCCAAACAATAAACCTCATCCCTAATCCGCACAACCATAATCCCTAAATCAATGACCCATAAACCCTAAACCTGATGCAAGCCCCTGAAACCCAAACCCCTAAACCCTCAACCCAAGCAGGGGGCGCCGTGGTGCATCCATCATGGTCAGTTTGCGCCCGGAGTTCAGAGGCCAGCTACCTAAGACCAGCCCAGACCCCAAACCACTAAAAGCAGATCCCCGAAGGTTCCCATACCCATATTATGTTGGGGGTTCCTTATTATGATTATACGTAGTATACTAGCCCTCAAAGCCCTATTCTAATTATTAAGGCCCCTATATTACGCTCCAGTCCCAAATTGGGAAATCGACATTTAGAGCGTGAAGGGGGTTCTGGAAAGTAAGTACGTCGAAATGCACATGAAGTTGACACTACAGGCCTAAACCCCAGTTTCCAAAACCCTCAACTGTAGACCCAATGCCCTAGCACCCAATCGACCCCAGACCATATATGAAAAAGCAAGTCATACCCTAAACTCTAAACCCTATAAACTAAAACAACCCTAAGCTCTAAACCCTAAATTCTAAACCCTCAGCCCTAAATTCTAAGCTCTAAACCCTAAACTCTAAACCCTCAGCCCTAAATTCTCAGCTCTAAACCCTAAACTCTAAGCCCTAAACCCTAAACTCTAAACCATGAGCCCGAAAGACGTGATCCCTAAATCTACATCCCCGAAGCCCCAAGCCGCTGTGAGTCCGACGAAACCCTACTTGGAGGGTCTGGGGACTTGGTAAGGTTTAGGGGTATAGGGTTGAGGGGTTGAGGATTTAGGTGTTTCGGGTGTAGGGGTTTAAGTTTATAACGGGTCTAGGGTAATGAGTAGACTTATCAGTTGGAGTTATGATACTTACAAGTCTATAAAATAGCTACGGTAGCTACTTGCTACTTCCCCCGATCCGCCGTTATAGAACCCTTATAGATCCTTTTCAGGATCCCTTTAAAGAGCCCTTTAAGGAATCCTACAGTACTTTGGCCTCCGACCCTTCGTTATAGAACCCTCTGAAGACCCTACGTCTTCGGATCCTGGGCCTCTACAGCGAACCCCAGAAAGTTGGAATTAGGGTTTAGGGTTTAGGGCTTAGGGTTTAGGGTTTAGGGGGTAAGGGGTTTAGGATGATTCGTGCTAGAATTCCTTCTGCTTCAGCTTAAGGGCATGAGGGAGCATGATGTTCTAACTTTATGGCTTCCACTATATAGGGTAGTTCCCTAAATGAGGGTCCCCTTTTTCGGTGCCCAATATAGTACGGCACCCTTATAAACAGGACCTCCCCAAACCCTAAACCCTAAACCCCAAACCCTTATAAACAGGACCCCCCCCCCCCAAACGGACGCTTATT